AAAGGATTTGCTTCTGTTGTGTTCTTCTGTAGCCTTTGCAGTGCCTAAAGGTATTGACGATGAGTGGCTGGAACCCTCCACCCGGTAACAGGAAAATGCATGGGGACCTCATGTATTTATATGTCATCACGGTGGAGGATCGGCACGTCAGTATCACTGCATCCACTCGAGGATTTTACTTGAATCAGTGAGTAACTAAGGTTCCTCCTGTCCTGCCCTGCAGCAGGGAGTTTGTGATAGCCAACTGGAAAAGAACCCACAAACAAACAATTGCTTGTTTTTTTTTTTTTTTTTTTTTTTTGTGGAAAATAGCCTGTTTTAATTTGCTCACATGGGTTTGTAGGAGTTGCTATACTGGATTGGGCTGTTCAGTTATGCCTGGTACCATTTCTCCATAGTGGATAAATGCCTGATGCTTTAGGGAGAGTTTAAACATCCCATAATGTCATCAGCTAATTAGAGCATTTTGAGTTGGGAGGGAATTCCTTCCTGACCATTGCAAGTATCTCATTTTGCCCTAAAGCAAAAGCACAGCCTGTCAGAACTTCCTAAGCTGGGCAGAGATTTGACTAGATTTTTTTTAACTTTTTTTTTTTTTAAATAGTGACTGTGAGAGACAGTTAAACTGGCTGGGCTGTGCTGAGGGAGGTGCAGGGTCCATCCAGCCCAGTAGCCTGTAACAGAGACCTATTGAGTTGCAGGTGGACAGGAGAGAACTTCAGAGCAACAAACCTTGCTGTACCTGAGCAACCATCAGCTTGGGAACATCTCTGGGTGGCCTTGATCCTGCAATCCAGATAAATGCTTGGGCAGCCATAACTGTGTTTGAAATACAAGGTTATAATTCACAGAAGGAGAATGAAGCTGCCTGAAGAGAAAGAGAGCTTAAAATATAGAAGATAAATTTCAAGCACATTTCCACTCATTATGAACTGGAAATGCTCCAGTGTTAAGCTGGCTTGTGGAAGAAAGAATTTGTTTCCCCCCAGATCTGTAAAAATAAGTGTTAAAAGCAGTGACTCTAAGGGTACACATCTGAGTGAAGGTCCCAGGAGACCGAGTGGCACAATGAACACGAAACAAGCGGCCTTTTCAAGTTTGGCAAAACGTGACCTGGAGAGGGGGAGCTGTCGGTGTGCTCCTGGCAGGTCTGGTGCTCAGCCTTCCAGCCAGGAGGTGAGGTTATCTTGGGAGGGCACCGACTGTCTGGTATGGCTGGTGCCGTTACCGCTGGGTTCTCTGTTAAGCAAAGGCCCTTTTGGTGTGTTTGGGAAGCGCTGTGAAATCAGTCCTTCCTAGCCATAAAAATACGAGCCTTTCTTGAACCTGGTGCTGGCTGAAGGAGGTCTAAATTAAATTTGCTGTGCAATCCATCAGGGCCCAGGTGCAGGGTTACTAGCTGTATCTCGTGTGGAGAGACTGGAGAGGGCCCTTGCAGCCCATCCGCCTGTGTGCCATGTGGTCTCCGTTTTGCAAGCAAGGCACGTTGTGCAGGACTTTCATGCGGTGCCCATACGGAAAGCTGTCATTCATGTACTGCGTTCCTAGGATATGGGAAGTCTCAGGTATGACAGTGGCTTGTGACCTCGTTTCTTTTTTCTCTTGCAGGTCTACTGCATACAACTTCAATCCCAAACCTGCAAACCCAAGTTTTCTCAGTCATTCCTTGGTGGAACTACTTAACCAGATCAGCCCTACCTTCAAAAAAAACTTTTCCGCTCTGCAGAAGAAACGGTAGCAGCACTTTTTCCTCTCTAGTTGCCTTGAGTAGTCTGTTGTGAAGTTGCTTGGTGAGGCTCGGCTATGTGGCTGGTTCTGTGGGAACTGGATGCCACTGACATAGCAAGGATTGCAATGCCTGCTTTCTCTGAGCTCACATAGCGGTGGGGTGGCTGGGACATGCGAGTCTATGCAGCGAGGACCACAAAGCACCTGACTAAATGTCGTGGCAGCACCCTGATGTAACAGGCTTTCCCTCGCTCGACACGTGGAGCTGTCAGAGCTGACGTGACTTGTCTGCTGTTCAGCATGACAGTAACAGAAGCTGGTGGAAAACCAGGGTCCCGATACTGATCTACTGGATGGTTTCTCTTGGCTCTAGCTCCCAGATGACTCTTGCTTACAGCATGTAGATTTACGGATTTCGGTTCTGCTTAAAGCAAAGGGTGGAGGGACGATGGCTTTCCATTGCCATGGGCGTATCAGTTGTGGGGCTTACCTGGGATTCAGCGCACTCTGCCCCTGCTAAGAAACTGAATGCATAGGGCAGCTTGTGCAGTGGGAGAGAAGGCCCAGAGATGGGCTGCAGTGTTCATACAAGGGAAACGGCTGTGCATTGGCCAGCTCCCGAGATGTGGGTCTCCTCACTGAGTCTGCATGTTGGCTGCATGCCTCGTGGGAGACTTGACGGCCTCCTAGCTAGCCAGGCAGCAAAGAGTTAATGCGAAGCATGGCCACATGCTGCAGCAGTGACTGGGCTGGTAACCCGATCAGTAGGTACTTCTCCCCTGAATCCAAAAAAGAGACTGAAACATAAAATATCAGGGAAAGTAACACGTGAGGGCTTTGCATAGTAGGCTTATGGTGGAGAGAGAATAATTATTTTAAACATGTCCATGGATGTTCATTTTCTCTAATTTCCTCTAGCTCCTACAATAATAATAAAACCCAATAATGTATTGTTTTATTCTCCTGTCCTTGCTGCAGGGACCATTTATTCTGCTCCAGGACAGTGGGTCCCGTGCAAAAGCCTGTCATTCTTTAGAGTCCACTTAATGAACTGCCTCGGCTCAGCAGGGTGCAAATTGACAGGCACATTGTGTGGCTTTCAGGAGCTCTGCTTCTGTTCTCGTTAAGAAGATGAAAGTGACACTAGACAAGGGCTGGAAATTAGCAGTGGCCTCCAGCCACCACTGTGACTATCTGGCCATTTAAAAATGATTATACTGTATTGCTTCTTGGGCCAGAAGTAAATACAGATGAGACTCCAGCACCTGCTGAGAGCAGACAGATTACACAAGAGGCCATTTGGTGAAGCTTGCTTTTTCACTTCATTAGTGGATGTGTGCTGTAGGCTGGTTTTATAACGCAGCCCGTATGGACGGTGTGGAAGCTGAGGGCCGGTCTGAGAGGTGGCTGGCTGGGAGTGGGCATCCTCTGCCTCCGAAGGCAGAGGGCGATGGGGATCTTCAGTGACGCAGCTGAGGATAAAACTGGGGAAAGGGGGATGAGGAGAGCCCAGGTAATTCTGCAGACTGCTGTTGAGAGATGCTGCCCGTGCCAGTCAGTCATCGTGGGGTATAGTGCTTGTTAAATGAGAGTCCACTGTGCTGCTCGTGAGGCCTGGTCTTGTCCTGTTGTTTGTCAGGAGCTGATGTTGCAGCAGAGGGAAAATTCTCTTAGAATAGAAAGAAATCTTCCTTTGGAAAATGTCTAATTGTTTTCACTCCCAAACTAGGGTTCAGAGACACCCTTTTGAAAGGATAGCCACTCCTTTCCAAGTGTACAGCTGGACGGCTCCGCAAGCAGAACATGCCATGGACTGTGTCCGGGCAGAAGACGCGTATACTTCTAGGCTGGGCTATGAAGAGCACATACCTGGACAGGTACTGGTCTTGCTTCGCCTGAGAATGCTGGCAAGAGTGTTGCTGTCAGCTGCACTGGGAACTGCTTCACTTTTACCAAGTAGACCTCTGGTATTTGCGGAAGGGTTTTGCTCACCAAGGGAAAACTTTGGGAGCCCTTGTTCTTGACAGTGCCCTTGACTACAGGGGCTGTGCTGCTTAGGCTGCAACTCCCTGAGCACGTAAAGGTCTGAGAGGAGCAACTTCTGCTCGGGTGTTTATAAATCCCGTGTCCCTGCTCCGATGAGCTGCACAGAAGGCAGAGCGCTCCTCCATGCTAGTCAGGCCTGGAATGGCTCTCGTGTCTCTGAGCAAACTATTCCAAATGCTTCAGTTGCAGCTTCGTAGCATAAGATCTTGCAGGCCGTGAGCGGTGCAGGGCCGTAACAGCTGCCCATGGGCGGCTGTCTGCCTGCGGTGTGACCACGTTGCAGTGTGCTGGCTAATGAAACCTGCACCATGCTCCCCCAGAGCTAGCAAGCTGCTAGTTCAGTTAAACTGCACTGCGCAAGCTGGGCTAACATAAGATCTATCCCAAACTGCTGTTGAATAAAGTC